AGATTTTGACACTGCCTTAGCTCAACGTTGTATTTTCGAATTTGAAGAGAAAGGGGATGAAAGAAACAAAAATCGGCAATTTCAGTGGGATTTAAATAAATATTGAAGATAAAATATTAATTTTTGAAATATATGTATTTGTATACATTCATTAATTATTTATATAATTGACGCTTTGTAACTGCTCCTCCTCATATTTATGATGTACATTTTGATGTTTTCTCAACATATTTAGAGACCTAGTTTTAATTTAAGCTACCTCGAGAACATCTGACAAATTTTTATGAGAAACCTTTATTTCATGGCAGTAACACAATTGAAGGGCGAGACATTCCTAGCGGAATGACGATCGCAATTAGAAAATTAGGCTAATTGTTTTATTTGGATTTCCAATAATTTTGGCTGTTGGTTGGGCCAGAACTAAAACACAGTGACAGTCTGGACTGCCGTGATTCCGAGATATATCGCGGAAGATCGCGGTTTTAGTTGCCTCTGACACTAAACAGGTACAGATTTGCTCACCAGCTACTATAGATTACATAGAAGAGGGAGAAGGAAATTAATTATTTATTTAAAGTAATTAGTTCTTGAGGCATAGATAAGGCTTAGAGGAATCAAAGTTGATGGAATGAGTATTAAAATCTTTGCTCAAACATCGGTTTTGCACGAACATAAGATGATTTTAAAGGGATGATAACTCTCCATATCAATTCAGTTTAAAATAATCTTCAAACATCGCTTTACGACTAAGCGGGCGAAGGTAGATTATTGAGCCGTAAATGACTTTTACAATATAATGAGGGAGAATCTTATTCGCATAACGGTGTAAGCTGGTGAACAGTAAGATTTGCCTTACAAATTCCAATTTATTTCTATGAAAGTGATTCTCTGCATGCCATATAACTGGGTCTAATTTGGTAATGAATGGGTTTATATTATTCCTAAATTTTTACTAAAGGTCCATCGTTTGAATATATAAAGTTTTTTATGGTACATTTAAAAAAAGCTGTAATATAGTAATTTAAATAAAGTTAGAGCATTTATTTAATAAATAGCCTTTACTACATAGTTTTTCTAAAGAGAATTGTTGCAATTATCGCATTTTTAATACACATCGACGACTTAAATATGTGAATGTGTTAAATGTGTGTAAAATATTTAAACCCATTGCACAGCTCCTAGCGAAAATATATTTTTCAAAAATTTAAAATTACTCCTTTGCGTATAGACGCGACACTGGCCAATTATGAACAAAGAATAAATTTATTTATTATAAGTTTATGTTATAAAAATTAACATTATTATCAAAAACTTCCTTCACATTTTGCCAGAACATAATTTTGCAAAGAAAACAATGAATATAATTTAATTTGTAACGGAATGTCATTTTAAGAATAATTGAAAAATCTGTTTACTCTTTTCAATGATGAAAAACTAACCTTTTTTCTTACCCTTTTACCTTACCCTTTTTTCTAAGATTTTTATTTAAATATGGGAATATAATTCTATAAAATCAAAATCTCTTGCTAAGGCAATGTGCGGGAGAGTTTGTTTACTTACTTCAACTGTATATTATTTCATCGAAATGTATATAAAAATTTCTGGCATTCCCGTCATAAATTTCACATATACTCCGTTTATTCTTCATTACTAATCGGATAGATTGAACTGGCAAGACGCCTACTCGGTTAGATCATACACATTTTCTCTTCATATTTATGTAGAAGCGTTAACTCGGTTTCATAAACGCAATTATTTACCTAAAATTTTACCAAAATTCAGAAAACTTGGACTTGACTGCTATGATATTAACTCCATTCTGCATTTACCTCGAGTAGAGCACTTGGCGCTTATGCTTGTAAGCTTAACCCGAGTAGAATAAACCCGAATAGAAATGAAACATAAACGTAGTAATAGTAAGGTCGCAGCTTTAGTAGCGGGATTTCCTCACGCTAACTTTAGAGCCGGCTCTTTCTGAAAATTCCGGCTCTAACTTGACTATAGTCAAGGAGGACACTTTAAACTTAAACACCTCGTTATTTATCACCGAGCAATGTTGCTTTTAAATATTAGACTTAAATACTGTCATACTAGGTTTAAAAATCTGCAAAACTTAAACACTTATTCAATAGTCTATAAATATTTGTTGCTGGTTTAATTAAGTGATTATTTGACAATATTTTCCAAATTATGTATGTACAGCAAAAGTATGCGCAATAAAATAATTTAAGAGAATATTACACAGTTAAATTTAATAAACATACACACATTCATATATATTTTCACCTCAAACGACGAATAACAAACAATCGATTTATTTTTCAACTGCATGAAAGTTGCATGTCATCATAGCAGAAACAAAAAAAAAAACTTAAAATACAAACAGCAGTAGCTATGTACATTTGCGCAGCATCAGTAGTTAGGTCAGACGCCACGTAACGCTTACGCTATACATACATATATTATAAGTTTATATACACTCATTTGAACTAATAACAATAAAAGCAACACCAGCTATCCCAGTGTAATAACAAAGAACCGCGTCGAGTTTTATTCACAAAAAAGATTTGCAAGTCAGTTTGTTTCCAAACAGAAGCCAAGAAAAAAACGAAAACATTGAAAGGTACAATAGGGTAAAAAATCAATTCCTATTTAAAAAAAAAAAAATCATAATTGGAATGGAAATGAGGTGCATCGAGTGTAGCTCATATACAGCGGTAAGTACATGCATACATCCATATCAACATGCATAGATATTCGCTTTGATACAAATTTGCATTTTTCATGCTTACAACAATCACTTATGAAACCCCGTTTGTATCGATTTTTCTAAATACTCGAAATATGTGTTTTTACACGTATGTGCACACATATATAAACATATATATATGCATACATATATAGGCTGTCTGACACGTACGAAATGTTTATTTCACTTTTGAAGACAAGAATCTTCAGATGAGTTTTTCAACACGCCGTTTACCACTTATTTGCCGTGGGAGGAGCTTGATGAATTGACGAGTTTTGTGCATGCGCCATTAGAGGCAGCGTTCGTAAACAAATCATAAATCAACTTCGACATGAAGCAACGCGCAGCCGACGAAAAATCTTTCAAAAATCTACTACTTATTGGAGGGAATGTCTGTACAGTGGGCTAGGAGTTATTTTGAGGTGTATTAATCATGGGCATAAGGAAAATATTCTAAAATTTGTTTTGTCACAATAACGATGAATATCTGTAACACTCTAATTTTTTTGTGTTCTTTTACTTTAAGAAAGTATTATCTTTTTAGCTGTTGATGGAGAACCTTTTCGTTGTCGTTTTGTATAATTGATAATGAAATAACTGCATTTCAAATGTGATGGGTAATAAAAAAAATTCATAGTCTCTCATATATGCCAATAACACCTTTTAGAATAAAAATCTGTCATGTATATGTACGCTGCAGTTATAACAATATGTACTACTTTGATTTAAGAAAGAGTGTAACGAAAATACATTCGTTTACAACTACAACAAAATATACAACATCTTAAACTAGAATTAATTTCAATACTAACTTAGCTTGACAAAATTATAATGTATCGTTTTGACAATAAGCTATCTAATTAAATTTGAATTAAGATTGAATTTTCGAATCAAATCTTAGAATCCTTTTCTTTTTCTTCTTACATACTACTGTTGGAAATGTTTCTAATAATAACTTTTTATGATGCAAATCAACTGAGAAAGTTACTGATTTATCCAGTTTTTTTATAATTTATTTGAAAGTGTTCCAATACAATGAAGATCGTTAACGTTAATTTTAAAATGGCTGCTTGCTCCTTTGATAAAATTTTCTTTATAACGTAAAATTTATCGTCATCAAACAACCTTGATATACATATATATACTTTATATACGATACACGTTATTGATAGAAATAGTATAATAAGTAAAACAAAACTGAAATTTGGTTTGAAATAACTGTTGAAATAAATTTGTCAGCAATTAAGATACTATAATACTTTTGAGTTTCAAAAATAAATTTTTTATAATTTCCGAATCAAATTTTAACAGTCAATCAACGGATTTTGTTGATAAATTTTCCTGTTTTTCAATATTTGTTTTTAGTGATTGCGATTTGTCCCACTGTAGGAACGTAATAGATTTTTTTCGCCCTCTAGAAATAGCAATGGAGGTGTGTTTTATGCTTTCTATCTTTCTTGCTCGCTGTATATGCAGCTCGTTTTCGCAACAGCGTTATTCACCATCTGTTGTCATGGTGGTGGGAAAAATGGCGTACATACAGTTATAGCAACAAATAAATAAGAGCTTAGCTATGGCCTCTGCAGTAAACACAGTTGAATGTGTGTGTGGGCAGAGCCACATAGCCTTTTATTCCAGTCACTCAGTGTGCTCCATAGTTTAACAAACAATGCAAACACACATACGTACATGAGTTATGTTAGGAAACCAGAAAATCGGGTTTTACAGCCAATTTTCAAAACGAATTGAATGAAAACGGACTGAAGGTAAATACTGTCGGTCGGAATGACGGACAAGGGGAACAGGTTCGCTGGCTGTCGAGTAGCGACGAGTCATACACAACAAAAGAACGGCTCGTCATGAACAGACCAAACGGAACGTAGGAATCGGACCGTGCGCGTATTTGAAAACGATTCGAGCTTACAGTTTTGTCACGAACAGCATTTTAAAAAAATATTTGATTTCACCAATAATTGCGGATATTTTTTAATTATCTAGTTTTATTCGATCGTCGCATTCAAACCAATTTCTTGAAAATATTTATTTCCGCTAAATAAATATATGTGTTTGTGAATTTCAAATATTCATATGAAAATACAAGTGATAGAAATATTTTGAGTATAAGATATGAGATATAAAATGTAACATACACCTGTACATAATGTTCGTGTTAAATGATTACTCTGTGATAAGTACCCATGCCGTCGCAGAGGTGGATTTGTGATCAGCGAATAATGTGAAATAAAATTGGTTACCAATTATACTAACAGTGTTTTGTGTTAAATAAAAAGGAAATTGTGAACTTAAAATACTACCCGTTTCAGGGTTATTGTCCCCTTTTCCAAAAGAAAAATTTTATGCTTCAGTTATATAAACTACCCGTAACCTAATATAAAACTTATTTTCCCTTTGGCCACTATGAGCTCATTCTTAATGGGTTATCCACACGCGCCGCATCATGTTCAAAGCCCAATGGGTATGGGCAATGGCTTGGATCCAAAATTTCCTCCCGTCGCCGATGACTATCATCATTACAATGGCCATTACTCGATGACAGCAACGACGGGCCATATGGCCGGAATGAGTGGCGCAATGAATGGTGGAATGCCGCCCGGCATGCCGACGCATCCTCATGCCACTCACCCTGCTGATATGGTCAACGACTATATGGCGGCTGCTGTTCATCATTCAGCGTCCAATCATCATCCTCCTCATCCGCATGTACATACAAATAGCGCTCTTTCGGGTCACCATCACAATAACGGTTATACAAATTACGCTCCAACACCCACTCATCATCATCATCACCAAAGTCTTGGCTACTACGGTCATCCGGCTAGTGCAATGCACTCAGGACCACCAGAGTTTATATCAGCCGGGGCGGTGCACTCAGAACCAGTGACGACGCTGGGGAACAGTGTATACCCGCCAACGGTAAATACACCGAACGGCATTAGCGCCACACTAACTTCTAATGGCTACTATGGTGGTTATTATGGTACAAATGGAAGTGTCGGTAGTGCCCATTCCCAAGGGCATTCTCCACATTCACAAATGATGGATATGCCTCTACAATGCTCTTCAACAGAACCTCCCACTAACACCGCGCTGGGTCTTCAAGAGTTAGGTAAGTGTAATCGAAGTAGAAGGTTTGTTGAAGATCTCAATAGCCTACACAATGGAAATTAAATTCGTTTCTTTAATGTGCTTAGCATAAATATCGAACCAAAGCTATAATAAGAAAAACCAAGTATTCAAAGAGTAATTGTGAACATTTCCTTAGATGCGCGATCACCTAGTTGTTATGAACTCCTTCCGTCCGGTCAAGTTGACAACAAGGAGCATTGATTGAGATTATGTCTTCCAAGAAGAGCCCGGACTTACGGTTGTTGCTCTACTTCTCGCACAGTTTTTTACCAAAAATTTTCCCCATTTTCGCCAAATCTCGATCCGTGTGACTTCCGGCTATTCAAGCTTAAAATACTGGAATTAGTTTTAAATTGATTGAGGAGCTTCAACGAGAGTCACTGGAGGAGTTGGAGTCCATTGCAGTCGATGGAGACTAACATTATTTGTAGAATTGGAAAAGACTTTGAGATATATACTTTGCATTGAGGGAGAAGTTACTTTTGCGCTTTTTAACCGCTGAAGCGATTTTCAGTTGAACTCCTCCAATTTGTGATTTTGCGACTTCATGTACTTTCAAAAAGTTGAGGAGCATACAGTTTATTCTGAGTTTCCCCGAAGGAGCCTTTGTTTAAAGTCAGAAATACTCTCGGAGGGCTTGACATTCTCTGCCAAAGGGCCGCAGCAAATAAAAAAATTAATTTCATTCATTTTCCGAATGGCAGTAAGCAATATTAATTACCCGCCTTTAGGTTTTGCTTTTACGAACAATACTTTCTTAAATATTTGAAAAAATATTATCAAGATGTTTATCCTGGAAATTTGGAAAGTATTAGTTCTTCTTCACTAATACCAAATCCGAAGTCACAGTGGGACCTTGTGACCTAAGGAAGAGAGATATGCTGTTTTCTATCGTAGGGCTGAACTTGTTCTGGACCAAATTTTATACCCAAATATTTACTCAAATTCGATATAAGTTAATGACATATGTATGTAGTGATAGGAGAACGTTATATCTAGTAAATAATATAACTGAAGAGATTTTCGGCCGAGCTGCTTTTCCAACTTTTGGCAGATAAAACCTGAGATTGTAACATTTTCGTCAAGCGACGACCAGAAAGATATGCATTTTTGTCCCATACATTTTAGATAAAAAGTAATTTTATCGTTGTAAAGTCAATGCGTCTTATATATTGGAAGATAGTAATTGTCCAAACTTATAAAGGTCGTTTTAGTTATTAATGAGACTCAAAAATTATTCCTTTTAGTTTCTTTATGCAGCTGTTTGAAACCGTTTGCTCTGAAAATCATGCAATTTTATTTTCAAAGCGTTTATTATCTACATTTACGAGGTGTGACAATTAAGTGATGAGATTGATTATATTACCGCGATTGTGGTAACCCTGCGACTTTGAAACTCCCTTTCCCTTTTTCCGGCGTCCTTCTCCTCTCCATTGATATATTTGCCATCACTCTAGCTTGTCTAGTTCGGCTGCTGTGTCGTGTTGAGTAAACGTGTGCTCGTGGTGCTCATCACTAACATGGAAAAACTAACTCAAGAGCAACGCGTCGCGTTAAAATTTTTCGTCCATAAAGAATTTTTTCCCTGGGGCTAACCGTAAATCAAGCCTACTATCGCCAAGCACTCGAAAGATTGCAAAAACAAGTCTAAAGGGTGCGCCCAGACATCGCTTGTAACTGGAAGCTTCATCATGACAACGGGCCGTGCGACACCACCCTCAGCGTGTCCCAGTATTGGGCCTCTAAAGGGATCGCCGTCCATCGTAATAACTGCCTTATATGCCCGATATATCGGTGGTTAAAGGAACCTACAATATTTTGAGTCTATTGGGGACACCCAATAGGCCGTAACGAAGGTACCCGCGGTCATCCCAGTCGAAGCCTTTCAGAAATGTTACGAAGCTTGGAAAACGCGCTGTAAATCGTTGTATAGCTGCCCATGGGGACTACTTTGAAGGGGTTGGCATAGTTGTAGAACAGTTTTGAAATATTCGGTTTTAATAGAATCAGGCTCAATTCTTAATTGTCACACCTCGTAACTATTAAACTTGTTGGCCCGAACTTTGATGAATAAGCCTGTCAAATAAGTCTGACATTCAATGCCAATTTAACCATGAACCAAAACACAACTAAAGAAGAGCTGAAATCATAGCCCCTTACATTGAAAATATGCTTATGGTATGAAGCTCATTTCAAGAAAAATGGTGATTTGGTGTGGCCGCCTCGCTCTCCAGATTTAACTGTACTTGACTTGTTTCCTTGGGGCCATTAATGGAAATAAATATTTATGACTTTCAAGCACATTAAATGTTATATTAACTTTACTGCAGAGTACGTAAGTACCAGAAGGAAGAGATAGACCCATCAAATATTATACCGATCAAGTCAGAATTAGGAGTTGAATTAATTTAGCTATGAGCGTCTGTCCTTCTGTTTGTACTCAAAACCAAGCTTGATATGAAGATGGACTGGTGTATTTAAGTAATCATTTGAACAGGCCAGAACGGCATATGTGCGACCAATTTTTCGTATTTCAAACTTTTGGGTCATAAATTTGTCAAAAAAAAGCATTTAGTGGAGAAAGTTGGTACTTTGCAAGCATATAATGAGTTAGACATTTGTGTTGAAAATCGTCGAAACCTGAGGACTACATCATATAACGACCCTACAACCGATTTGTTCAGAGGAGAGATTTTGGATCGACTATCCGTCAAAACAGATTGTAGATGCGAAAGATTTGCTATTTTACACAAGTATAAACATACATACGTATATGTAAAATATACGAAAAAAGATAGACACCGAAATTTATCGACAGTGGAACACTTCTTCATAGAGCCCCCTCAACCAATATTTTAGATATGAGAATGAATATATAAATCTCAAATGCAATACCATAAATTTGAGCAATACTTTTTTGTTTTTGTCTGCATGCTTAAGAGTTAATAAGAACATTTATTTTTTTGAATTTCAAGTGTTTTTATTTCATATTTGGATTCAAAAAGTATTTGCCAAAAAAGTGTCTAAATGGAATATTGGCCAAAACTAAAACATTCCCCTGGCGCAATTTTCGCGAATATTGTTTACTTTAAATAAATTAAATAATTTTTTTCTGCATTTTATTTATATTCTTTTGTTTTTAATAAAGAGATATACTTTTTGTTTATTTTGTTTTATTTGAAAAGTTTAACATAACATCCTGATATATGCCCTCCCATGTTAATTTTACAGCTTTAAACAATTCGTCCTTGGTTCTATAGTGTTCCCTATAAAGTTACATATTTAAGATTATGCGTTTCAAAAATGGAAAACTGTGTTATTTCGATAGTATGAGACATGTGATAATACAAAAGGCCAGAGACTCAATCTCAAGTATTGCATTGCATTACCTAAATACGAGGTAATGCATGCGGTAAGAGCTCTTGCCTCAGGTCTTGTTGTTTTAGCATTGTGATAAGTTTTGTCTCAAAAGTTGGCGATCGAATTTCAGTGACACTTACATTCTATAGAAGCTTGTGACCTTTCCATATCGCTACTTATTCGAATTTGAGGTCAGCTTGCTTACATATGGAAGCATGTTGAACAAAAACATTTATATATGTTTAAGTGGTTCTGAAGTCCACAAATGGAAAAAACTAAAACAACGCTAAAACCTACTACTGTCACCTTCAAATCAATGCCTGCCACTCAAGACAAAGGAAGAGTGACTGAAAAATGTAAAGATAAAAGTGCCAATTACTCTTCCTACATTTATTTGTTTATAAATCAATGTATAAAATTTTCTTGAAAGCCTCTGTTGCTGGCTTTGTAGAGCAAATAGCCGAGTTTGTTTTATGGAAAAATTATAATCGTCGCTTGTTTCTACGGCGCAAACGTCAATAACTGTATCGGCAATCGGTGGTAACTTTTCATTTACATCTGAGTCGCTAAGTTTTTGTCTGTTTCGCCTGTTTCTGGGCATAATCTCGCAATATCGGCTATAGCATTAAGAATTGCCATTCGGATGGCCAGGGTCAAATCCTAGTATGACCAACATTCAAAATTAATCAAAATTTCTAATTGTGGTCGCCCCTCAGTAGGGAATGTCAACGCCTCCGAGTAAACTTCTGACATGAAATAAAGGCTCCAGGACGCATAACCACAAATTAGAGGAGGAGCTCGGGCGAAAATTGGTTCAGTGTATATACATGTATATATATTTGACCAGAGTTGGTGCCAACAACTCTAACAGTAAATTTCTGGAAATAGACGAAATGCAATGCAAATCATTAAGTCTGGTTAATTTCACCAGCAGAATTTCAGTTTGCTATCAATGACATTTCGAATTTTTTTTATTTGTTTCCTGAATGCATACATATTTTGTGCTTAATTGTATTTTAGATAAACAACATCCGAGTCCTTTATAGTTTTAATTCGTGACTAGAGTTTTCTTACTCAATTTGATATTATTATAATTTTTAATAACCAAATCATATTTTAACGGAAGTTTTAAGTTGTAACCACTAAAATTTATATCGAAATTCTCAGAATATGTAAATAGCTGAATGAATCTAGCAATTCGTGTATGTTTCAGATGCTTCACATATTTTCCTGAAAGTCATAAATATACTATCTAAGAAAATTTTAAATATTTTAAGTATTCCATTTGCATGTCGGCAAATCACAAAAAATTCAGAAAGAGTGCATTGATTTAAAAAAAATTCACATAGATTTCATTGTTAACTACAATGCACATGCTATCTATGTAATAGCGAATTCAAATAAGTTGATGCAAAGAATGAGGTTTATTTTGACTTTGAGTCTGCCCGCGACTTCGTCCGTCCAATATTTTATTATATTACTGATTTTATTATAACTTATAAGCTACTGTATATCATAACATATCTTCAACATATTAAGCAAGTGAGAAGTGAGTTTGGGATGGATTCAAAGGATCAGATTCCAGGTCCATTGAGCGAAAGAAAAAGTATTCACAATGGTACTTTAGGCCTAAACTACTACATAGAATTAACGCTTTATAACCACTGAAGCGATTTTCGGCTGACCTCGTTCTCCAATTTCTGACATGCGTCTATATGTTTTTCCAACAAATGGAGGATCCTACAGTTTATACTAAGCCTCCTCCGAACGGCTGACAGTTTTTTATGAGGAGCTTTATTTCATATCATAAATATACTGGGAGGGGTTGATAGTCCCTGACCAATTTTTTATTTAAATTAATTTTCTGCACTTTTTGGATGCTGGTCGGACCAGGACTCGAACCCTGACTTCCGAAAGCAGTACGCAATTACAGTCAACTAAATCAAACGATTTGAAAGTAAAGTCGATTTTTTCGAATTGATCAGTTCCATATCCACTTCCCGGGACATCCTTCTTTATCGGGTTGATCCCTCAGTCATTCAGGACAAAACCTTTAATCAATATATGTAAAGGGTGATTTTTTAGCTATTATCGTACTTCTTCAAAGATGAGGTATAATAACTGTGTCAAACTTTTTTTTCCCCAGAATGCAAGAGCTAGACTTGCATGACATGTGGTTTCAACAAGACGGTGCCACATGCCACACAGCGCACGTAACAATGGACTTATTGAGAGCCTAGTTCGGTGAACATTTTATTGAACGTTCGGGACCGGTCAGTTCGCCACCTAGATCGTGCGATTTAGCACCTTAAGACTATTTTTTTTTTTGGATATGTTAAATCTAATGTCTATACAGACAAGTCCGCTTCATTTGACGCATCGGAGGATAACATTGAAGCATTTATTCGTGAGATATCGGCCGAAATGTTGAAAAGAATATGCCATAATTGGACTAAGCGGATGGAACATTTGAGGCGCAGTCACTGTCAACATTTGCATGAAATAACCTTAAAGGCTTAAATTATATGGACCGTACTATCGATTCAAATAAAGATTTCATGCATTTTTCTGAATTTTGTGTGATTTTTTTAACTTTCCTATAGCTCTTAAAAAATCAAATATATGTGCATAGATAAGTGTACTTGGCTCAAATACAAATAGAAATCAAGTATGTTAAAAAAATGTCATAAATTGATAGTGAATTTTGCCTGAAAGTGTTTTGGATTTTCTGTGACACATTTGGACCGTCTGAGTTTTTCTGAAAAACAGTTTGAAAACTAAAATAAAACAAAATATATGATATGTATGAAAAATGATAAAAGACAAGTAGCACATTACCGGAACCAGTGGCCAAAATCGAATATAAACCACACCAGCTAGAATGAAGTCAAATTTGGTACAATGAGAATCTAAAAAGCTGGACTTATATCCATCTATTTTTGTTATTAAATATCACAGTTCCAAGATATAATTTTTTTTTTGTTTCACAATCACTTTTTTTACGTACAAACAAAAGAGTTGTGTGTCTAAATTTCGTTAGCGCTCTCTCTCTCACTAATTGTTAATTATTTCTCACTTGCATACTAATTAAAAAATAGTATTTTAGTGCTCTGCTGCCACTCATGGTGTACTAGTGTTGTACTTGAAATTCAGCATTCTTGTGCATATATTTAATTCACTCTCAAAAATGTTTATTAGTTCAATTTAATTTTTCAAGCTCTTTATCATGTTACAACAATCAGCTTTAATCTTATATTCAACATTTTTTTATAGGACTGAAATTGGAAAAGAGAATTGAGGAGGCTGCACCCGCCGGACAACAATTACAAGAATTGGGAATGAGATTACGCTGTGATGATACTGGATCGGAAAACGTAAGCTTTCGTAGAAAATCTCACCAATTTGAAATAGAAGAAATTAATATATATTTTATTTCTATATTTAGGATGATATGTTGGAAGAAGATCGTCTCATGTTGGATAGATCACCCGACGAACTCGGCTCGAATGGAAATGATGACGATTTAGGGGACTCTGATACTGATGACGACTTAATGGGTGAGACCACCGATGGAGAGAGAATTATATATCCATGGATGAAAAAAATTCATGTGGCGGGAGTTGGTAAGTGTGACAATAAACTAATTTTAAATTATGTGGTAAAAAGTAAAGTTAAAATATTGAAAGGGAAATGCATTCACAAGTGAAGTGACATTTTAACCATTAATCAATATTTCACGTTCCAAATGAGTATTTCTAAACGAGGCATGTGCCGAAAGAAGTCTTCAAATTTCCATATATGTATGTACGTATTTTTACTGTGGCGCAAGTATCTCACACTCACCAATTTAGAATTCTACAATAGTAAAATAGCTTGCCACTTAAATGAGATTTCAAACTATAAATAATGTTTCTCTTAACACTATCAGCTACCGTTCCATCTAATTACAAACAATGCCGGTGCTTGAGTGAAATACAATAAAAGTTTCGATTTCATTTTATCATTATTATATGTATATACATACCTATGTATGTTGTGATATTTGTCTCTTTAAAATATGGTAAATGACTCCCGTGGGATGGGATTAAAAAATCTCTAAAGGCTGACCAGCTGTAAGTAATACAATCATTTATATATAAACAAACAAAGGCATATTTATGTATGTATGTATGTATGTATGAATGTATATATAACCTGGTGTGTGTACATATTAATATTTATTTTAAGAAAGTAAGAAGCATAAGCGTGGAATGTGGGTTCTTGAACTTGCGCCACCGGCAACTTAAACATCGAAAGAGTCAAATGCTCAAATGTCAAATAATTTAGTCAGTATTCGTTGCCAGTAGTCAGCGCCAGCCTGAGCACAAAGCGATAATCAGGTTCCTATTGCCAATACATATTTATCTATATATGTATGTTTATGAAGTATGCATGTACTTGGACACGAGTCGATGATAAATGTCACAACATCAACATCGAATGACACGGCTCATCCGTCACTCGGTCGGTGTCATCGCCGCTTGTGTGCGACTGTGGCACAGTGCGTTGCTTTAGTTTGACATTAGCTCACAGCGAGCTGCTTTAAAGTTGTTGTAGTACGTGTAATTATGCGCCAGAAGGCATTTGCGTCTTACGTTTATCCACACCAGACGACTGCCAGTTGTTCTTCTGAAGGCGAACATCGTTTATTACTTGTTGAACATGCATTTGATATTCATCATCGACATAATCAACTTCTCATTGACATTTCATCTCAGATAACTAGCAGAGAAAGTTCACTATGCAGAACTGAAAAATCATGCACAAAGATTTTTTCATAATCCACCCAATGATAACGGGATAATAAGTTTTAGAACACTTCAAAGTTTGCAGGTGAAATATATATATCTATATTGGTTTGTATGTATCAACGTTCTCTACTTCATATTTGCTTCTTTTAAATTTATCTCGTTAAAAAAAATATTATCTAGTCTACTGTCCTAATAAAACTGGAAAGCGATGATTACTTTGTTTCCAGAAAATTGAGCTCACATGAACCGCAAGTCGTGGCCAACTACAGTAGCTAAGCGACATGTCAACACGTTTGATCACTGTAATTAAGAATGATTTTGAATGGGCCACTAACATCTCTGCAACATACATACATACATATGTATTTATATAACTGCCAAGCTGCTGCGGCCTAAAGAGCTTCGATAAAATTGGAACCTAAAAAATACACTGATTTTGCCATTGAAAGCATTAGCATTTAGCATTTCCAATTTGAATTTTTCACCGAGTTGGCTTAAGCCTTTCAAGGCAAACGACGAAAATCTTTATCAGCAACACTAAATCATCCATTGAAATTCAAATGTGTGGAAACACACGGAACATATGAGGTTAAAAAATGGACTATCAGAACTACTCTTTTATTGCAGTGTCGGTTCAAGTATCGATTGAAAAAAAAGCCTGAGAAAATTCCTTACTCCCCGTGAGTTTAAAAAAAAAGTATTTATGATATAATTAACGCTTTTTAACCGCTGAAGCGACTATCGGCCGAGATCCTCCTCCAATTTGCGGTGTGCGTCTTGATGTTTTTCCTTACAAATGGAGCTGCCTCCGGACTGATCCGGCTGATGGTTCCTTTATGAGTAGCCTTTATTCCATGTCAGAAATACTGTGTAATCAGAGAGCTTGGTATTCCCTGCTAGGCGCGACTGCGCTTTTTTATTTAGATTAATTTCCTATAAGCTTTGGATTGAAACTCTTTTAGATATTTCATCTCAAGGTTGTGCTATATTCAGCCCAATGTCGTGGCAGCACGCCTGAAGTTCACCATACAGATTATATGGAAGAAAGTTGAGAAGATCAGAAGCAAATATTAAGCACCATACTATGTTCCCACAGAAGAGTATATGTACGAGCTGTGACAATTATGTAAGGAGACTAATTTCATAAGAACCGTATATTTCAAAATTATTCTACAACTCTGCCATACCCTTCAAAATACTTCCCTTGAGTAGCTATACATAATTTCTGCAACGCTTCGACTGGGATGTCCGCGAGTATCACTTGTCACGGCCGGCTGGATGTTCTCAATCGACTCAAAATGGGTTTCTTTGACCATCAATTTTGTTCTAGGGAACAACAAAAAGCCACAGGGCGGCATATCGGGCGAATAAAGTGGTTGTTACAACACGGCGATCCCTTTAGAGGCCAAATACTGGGACACACTGAGGGCGGTGCGGCACGGCGCGTTATCGTGATGAAAGATCCAGCTATAAGCGATGTCTAAGCGCACCCTGTTGACTCGTTTCGCAATCTTTCGAGTACTTGGTGATAGTAGCCTCGATTTACGGTTAGCCCCGGAGGAAAAAAATTTTGATAACCGATGACGGCTATAACAAAAGGCAATAATCATCTTTTTCCACGCATCGTCTCCCACGCTTTCACGCCACTTCTTAAACTCTTTGTGCCATTGAAACACCTGTACGAGTAAGAGCACTATCACCATGCACTTTTAAAATTTTTGCTTATGTTTCCGAAGCTGCTTCGCACAATTCGGCGCAAAATTTTATCGCGATGCGTTGTGCTTGAGTTCGTTTTTCCATTTTCGTGACAAACACCATGAACACACGATTACTCAACACGACACAGCAGGCAAACTATATAAATGGAGAGCAGAAGGGTACCGGGAGAAGGGAAAGGGAAGGCCGCAGGGGTACCACAATTGTGGCAACATAATCAGTTCTATTACTTAATTGTCACTCCTTGTATATCTATTTTTTACTTTCTTAGTCCCGTTGGAGTTGTTTCGTTAGAAAAAAATATTAGTTGTAATGAAACGAAATCTATTATTTTTGCATGAAATTGAAGGCTTTAATTATGGTAGTTAGAATGATCCGATTTTGAAGATAATTTCATTATGCCTCTCTCATAGAAGCACTCGTTCCTATTGGCAAACAATAGCAAAAGTCGGTGTTTAAAAACCTCTCTTGCAGCGAATTTTTCACAAGAAGAATTGTTCGCCATGGACAGGAACAGATGGTAATCACTAGGTGATAGGTTCGGACCATGAGGTGGATAGCTAAAAACCTTCCAATTAAGCTCCCGGAGCTTCTGGCTAGTCACTATCGATGTGTATTGCCTGGCGTTCTCATGATGGAACACAATTCCTATTGGTCAAAGCTGGCCGTTTTTGGGCGATCGCTTCCTTCAGACTAATTATTGACGGTACAGTTTCCAGTTAAGAGTTTTGCCCTTACGGGGACAGCTCATAGTAGCTAATTCACTGCCAATCCCATACGAGCGTGTTCGCTTAAAGTTGTCGTAAGTGAGCCACTTTTCATCGCCAGTCACCAAGAGCTTCAGAAATGGCACGATTTTGTAGCGACTCGCAGATGGGAATTCCGTCCATGGGGGTTTTTTTTTGCGTTAACTTGTGTGGCATCGTCCATACAACGAGATTTCTATCTTTCCACGTGGAAATAAAAAGTTTCCTTCCGAAACTTAATATAGCAAAATATTTAAGTTTGTTTCCTTTCACAAATTCTTAATTAGTATTGAGTTGTAAATAGTATTAGTGTTTTGTTGATAATTACAATTAGTCACGCTGGAACTTATAATTTTTATTTAAGAATTATTTATAAGTAAATGAAGTTAAAAATAAGGGTTTATATTTAATACAATTTTATTTCCTATTTCTTCCGGTTTTTTGCAAAATCTAAGAAAAAATTATCACAATTAAATGTATTTATTTACTAATGTGAATATTACTACATAAAGAACGAATATCAGATTTTTTTACAGCAGACTTTAAGAACAAAAGCATAATCAAATATTTACCAGTCAATCTACTTTTGCTGCTTTGCTTTATAGCCAACAGTGTAGCCAAAGTTTTCACTCTGCAGTAGCCCGCCCGCAGCGATTGTGTAGCCTTGAAGCAACTCCATCATGACTTTTGTATAATTGAAGGGAGAATTTTAAATAAATTTATTATTTCATTAGTTTCATCATGTTTACCATATTTGATATAATACAAAATATAATGCATCTGAAAAAAATTATTACTTAAGAATAAATTTATACAAATAATCAACCAATACACGTATATATTTTTTGAATTTTACTTGAAATCTATCTTACATAAGACATTCGGCAAATCTGATCTCATATATAATGATTGCTTTGCGCAAAACTACATAAAAAAATTATGTTTTTTTTTTAATTTTAAATTAACTATTGTACTTAACTACAATACTATAATTCGGGAATACTTCAGTTTGATTATCTTCAGTGTGAATTCTCAATATTATCATTTGCTTAAACTTAACTTACTAAGTTTACCATAAATTTAGAAGGTTTACAATATATTTTTTCTTATAAATACTAGAGGAATGGCTAGTATAAGATATGACAGCGCTTTAATGATATAGTTTCATAGGTGTTATCTAACAGACATATAGCATATACAGCAGTTGCATTTATGTGGTAATAAGCGTGCAAAATATCTAGCGGTGTATTTTGGAATTTCACTTTTTACAAAGGGTATGCCTAGGTCCTTGAGAATAGCTTCATTGGTAACAAACCAGGGAGAATTAACCAATCATCGCAACGTTTTCGATTGGTAACTTTGAAGGATCTCTACATTGGACTTTCTAACAGTACCCCAGAGCTGGATCCCGTAGTTTCTTATAGGCTTAAGAATAGCTTTGTAGAGGCGCACTTTGTCTTCTAGGACTAAGCTGAGAGTTTCGACCTAACAACCAGTACATTCGTTTTGTTTTAATTTTTAGTTGCTGCTGCTTAGCCTTAATATGATTTTTCCACGTTAGACGTCAATCAAGATGCATTGCTAAATATTTGACGTAATCACGAGTTGGAATCTGAATTTTGTTTAGAAATACAGCAGGACATTGCTCTCTTCGTAATGTAAAGGTGGCATGTGTAAACTTTTCTGAATTAACTCCATGATTCTCCATTTGTCTAGCCAAGGATGCAAAATGTCAAGTTGATTTTGCGGCAAAGCTACAAGCGATAAAACCGGTATCATCAGCAAAAGTCGCCACTTCTTCCGCTTCTAATGTGAGTATATCCGAAGTGAAAATAGAATATAGAGGACAGGACCAAAAACACTACCCTGAGGTACGCCAGCATTAATACTGTAAATTTCTCATGAGGCTTCTTTAAGTTTTACATAGAAATGCCTGACGCTCAGATAAGATTTCAGAATCAAGAAGAAGTGCGCTTGCAAAATAAAATATCCTTTGGAATATTTTTGAAAATGTTACCAGCAGACTAATAGGACGGTAAGATTTCACACAACTTTCAGGTTTATTTAGTTTAGTTACCATGACTATAGTAGCACATTTCCACTGGATAGGGTAGTGGTTCGTATAAAGAATAGCATTGTATATTGCAATTAGAACTTAGTCTGCTTTCTCAGGGAGAGCTGCACCAATTTTGCTATTTATACAGTCTTATCTGGGCAATTAGCATTTCTTTAAACCAACTTTTTCTTCGGAGACTTCACTCTTAGATAATCTACTGATTGGTATGTCCATATGGCATGCGGATTCCAGAAAAGTTAGTATTTCCGTGTCATCGCTTCTCGTATAAGAAGGATTATACTGAAAAGTTCGATAGTGGTTTTTAGTAAAAACTGATTTTTAAAATCAGATAACTTTGACTTTAGTTGTTTCGTTGCTCTATTAAAGGGTCTCTTTTCCATCTAGGCTTTTCTTAATCTCAAATATTCATTAAAAAAGAGTTTCTCCCTTTTCAGTCAAGGCAGATATGCGGCCTCATGAATAAGATGTATTATAAATTCCATGGCTACGTTCAGTTCAATACCCATTTCTAATCGCACATTTTAATCAATATGTTTACCAATCAAATGCTGGAAGGATTCAAGATCATTTATATTTTTTACAAAGAAAAGTATATAGACGTTCGCTATCCAAACACAACGAATAAAATCTTGTGCCCGCCTGGGAAGAAAAAAAACCGATTGACTAATTAGCCCCATTTGGCTACACTGGTTGCCGAAAGTATTGACTAATTATTTTATTCGTAAATTTTGTAATAATTTTCAATTAGATTTTAAATAAAAATATATTCAATTTCAGTCAATTTTGAGCAAAACTTCAATTCTGTGGTAGGATTTGCTTCGCTTTTTCCGTAATTACAGCTACTCTGAAATATTTCTTCTTCTTCTTTATTGGCATAAATATCGCTCACGCGATTGTAGCCGAATTAAAACAGCGCGCCATGCATTCCTCCTATTCGCTGTTTGGCGAAAATTGTAAATATCAATTATATCCAGCTGCTTCTCTCTCTAGAGAATGGAGGTCCACCTCTGCTTTAACTGGTCTTTTCAGTTGCCTACTCAGCACAAAGTAGCACCTGTTGGTGAGAGCGATTCTGCGTATGATTTAAAGGCTAACATTTATGTTGATCTTATATTCGATATTGAGGTGGCTTATGTCAGATATCATTTCTTCGCCACTGTATTCGAATAGCTCGACTGAAAATCCATCGACCTTCGTTGCTTTATTGTTCCTCAAGTTGGCGATTACTATTGGAACCTCTTCATAGTCGGACATTGAAACATCTGTTCCATCGTTAACGATTGGGGAATTGGTTGCGGCATCTCAAAGTGCTTTCACTGCCATTCAGCAGGCTGGAGTAGTGTTTTCTTCAAAAATTCAGTATACTCTTGGCAACAATCACTGGGAGCTTGGGAACCGTTCCACAGTTCAACTACACTAAGTTGGTGATGAGTCCTCTCAGAGAACACGAGATCAAGTCGAGTAGAAAACCGTTCGACACTTTTCGATAACGAACCTTCATTGTGAGGACGTTATTTACTGCACAAAGGTGAGTGCGTACCTCCGCTGCAAAAAAATAGTGTTCTGAGTCGTTGTTGGGTCCTCGGAGCGTGCGCACGCCAAGAGCACTGGAGACATGTCGTCCGTCTATGACAACATGTTTGGTCTGGTTTTGAGTTTTTCGATGAAGAGACTGTGTTGAGTTTTCTTGTGTTGGAATCTAGTACTACAGAAAACAATATTTCGTGCCTCGGCGAAGTGAATCAGCCTGAGCTTGTTTGGAAATGTTGTGTCGCAAATGCCTTCTTTGCCCGCCCTGTCGTTGAAGTTGTTAAGCACTATTTTGACATCATGGAGGGGACAACGCTCATAAGTCCAGACTCACGCAACAGGTATCCTTCGTCAAATCGTCCACTTTTCGTGTCGGGCGACGGCGAATGATATGTTGGAAAATTTCTCTTTTTTGCAGATTGTTCCGACGCTTATATCTACCAGGCTGAATTCCAAGGTTCGGCGATTTCAAATTTGCGCTCCATTCTATGGTCGTCCTTGTACCGTTCATCAAACTTCTTTGACGACGGCTATGTCAACTTTTAGTTTTACAAGCAACCAGCTATACAGTGGCGCTTTTCCAATTAAGCGACTGGACATTCCAGGTGCACGCCCTGAAATCAATTTTACAGTGGTCGTCATCAAAAGTGGTGTCTCTCATCCGAGCCGTTGCTTTACGTTTCGTTAGAGTTGGTTCTGCATGGCGGTTTCCAAATATAGCGCACAACCCCAGTAAGTCGAGTAGGATTAAATTTTTTGCTTCAATACCGACGCCAGTTCGCAAGGTTGCCAATTAGGCTTCAGTGAGCTCTTGAACTGTTTAAGTCGGTGTGGCTCCGCGAAGCTTCTTCCTCTATTTTAGCCTTGACCTAAGGCTCCATACCGTTTTGAGTACCGCATCATACACAAAGGTTACTCTCGCTTCCAGAGCGTGCGATGAGGACGCCCTGCATATCCAGAATATTTACATAAATAAGCCAATTTATAATAGTTTATTTACAAACATCAGATTTTTCCAAAAGTCTAAAAGTATCTTTTTTGTGAATACAAAACTACAATACTTAGATATACTTTTACTTACGTACGATGGCGCTTAGGAAAAATAACAAAAAGTAAAATTACGAAATACTAACATCTGTAGAAAAATTCAAAGCACAAGTTCAATATAATGTTTGAACACGGTTAAATTCAATAAATCTCTGGTCATGCAAGTACACAGCCTTGTAACCGAGTTTCAATGGCAATAAACATTCGCTACAGTAGATGCCCGCTCCGGCGGCTTGCCCCTGATGAGGTTCTCAAATATGACTGTACGTATGTACATATACGTATATGTTGCAGAGACAAGGCATGCTCGCATAGTCACTTGATGACTTGCGAAAAATCATATCCAACGCTCCAAGGAGGCGCAGGCGTTGCACAGATGCTTCAAATATACAAACATCAAAATATGTACATACATATACAATGTACATTTAACGCAGGCGATTATGAATTGTGAAAATGAAATACATAAACATACATACAACCGAAAACGTAAAAAAAACTGCAAACGGCAGCGAAGTAAACCGAAAAAAGTCGACATAACACGAAAAAAGCAGCCTCGTCGACATCATCCACAAATCAGCAAAAACTTAACAACATATACAACAACGAAATATGCACAATGTGAGGAATGACGGAGTTGAATTTGTAAAGTTCGGTTTTATGACAGATGAGGCACGAATATTCGTTTTCGTTGAAAACAGTCAGTGCCAGACAAACGTATTGACAAAGAGACAAAAACATCAATCGAATCGGAGACGCAAAAACGATTGAATGAACAGCAAATTAACGCTATTTCAAATCTACACCCATTCACTCAGCACCCCTCTTATCGCCAAGCGAAGCACGAGCTTCAATGAGAAAATGCCCGTAACGACCTTGGTCATACCTTCAGAGTATAATTAGCTCGTTAAAAAAGCTTCATTGGTATTACAAAAGAACGTGTACTCGGCGCAAGTAGATTGAAATATACTATATCGAATCCTCTCTTCCATGTTCACCCGGTGTTGTACTCTTTAGATATTAACTGTTTCTTTTTTTAACATTAAATCGATACTTAATTAGTTCACAAGCTACATAGCTCCGCAAACGCTCATGTGGTTCATTTATAACACATTTTGTGTTTTTACATATAAATGTTGTTTACACAATGTACATATATGAAATAATTGAAATACATACATATATGCAAATATTAAATTATCGCCTTATAACAATTGAGGCGATCTTTGATCGAACAATTTGAGGGACCGGCTGATGAATTTTTATCAGAAGTTTTTATTGCATGCCTGGAATGCGCTTAGTGTAATAGAATATATATGTGTAGGTATATATACAATTGGATCTTTATAACCGCTGAAGCGATTTCCGGCCGAGCTCTTCCTTTAATTGGTGGTTTTGCGTTTTTAGTTTTTTTTTAACAAATGGAAGGGCCTAGAGTTTATATAATACTAAGCCGCCTCCGAACGGCTGATGATAACCGCAAATAGAATAAATAATTTAAAACTAATAACAATTAATTAGATAAATATGTATATACATTTGTTATATCTTAAACTTTATAAAATATCAAGACCGTATAGCAGTGCATGTCTGGCAATTTGTTGGCTTGTCTTTGGAACTTACAACGTGATAAAAAATTTAGGTCTCTTTCTGTCTTACAAGCCGGGACCGCAGTCTCACAATTGATGTTTTTCCTACACTTCTCAGTCATCTACGAAAGGATAAATGATTTTTATAAGCAGCTGTCAGAGATAAGCTTGAAGACCAGCTTTTTAGATGTTCGTTTAGCCTAAGATCTCTCCGCTCATAGTATGCACCACGCATAAAATTTAATTTTAGTCATTAGAAAACAAATAAAAGGTGATTATTTTGCTATTATCTTTTGGGCAACACTGGTTTAAACAGCTGACGCACGTTTTGTGTTTGGTATCACTGTCAAACATCTTAAGTTTGGTCTATAATTTACCCATCAATCGTCTTACAAACGAACAGCGCTTGCAAATTATTCAATTTTATTATCAAAATGCGTGCCCTGTTAAGAAGGTTCACAAAAAAATATTGTGTTCAGAGGCCATGAATGCAAGAGCTTGCATGACACGCGTAACAATCGACTTATTGGGAGGCGAGTTCGGTGAGTATGGGACCGGTCAACTGGCTGCCTATACTGGCAAACCCGCTTCAATTGACGCATTGAAGGACAACATTGAAGCATTTGTTCGTGAGATAGCGGCA